GGAAAGTTGCCAGCAAGTAGTTCTTCGGTGAAATTCATCAACAGCGTAGGAAAATCTCTATTGCTTGTACCGTACAAGAGATGGCTGCAAGTTTATAGGCGTTTATAGCTGAGAATGCATCCCTACAGTGAATCATTCAAATCCCAAGTTGAATTCCAGTTTGAAATTCTAAGAGAATTATCCAGAGTCAACATAAGCTTATTCCGTCCAATGAGCAGCAGCTGCAATATTATCATCTCCAACCCATTAAATAGCTTGTCCCACGAGCGTGTGAGGAGCATTGAACAATTAAGTCTTCGAGCACTTTTAATAGGTCAGGTGCATAGGTGAGAACTTTTACGGAAGGAGATGACACCGTGATTTTCCCTCTGATGGAAGAAAGATGAAAAATTTACCCAAGGCTTCCTATTCTGCCCCCATTACGAGGAATATGTTAATAGGCCCGTGAGGTCCAATGAGCTAGATGATGATAATTTCAATAGAGATTGGTGAGATTCCTATTCCTGTGAGTTTTATTCAAGCAAAAGTAGAGAAGTATAATGGGCAAGGTGATCCTATGTACCACTTGAATGAATATATAACCAAGATGAAACTAAAAAAGGCGAGTCCAGGGCTGAACTGCCAAGAAATCCACCTAACACTGAGTGCTCAGTGAAGATATGTTAGAGTAAGCTTCAAATAGGGTCAATTAGGAGCTCACCACAATTGAAACATTATCTTGGCTCCTTAGCTGGAAGCCTCTTTAACAAAGCTTATGTTACAAGGCCCAACAATATGAGGCACGAGGAGGGTGAATCATTGAAAAGCTACTTATTGCCTGTGAAACCATATCTAATGAAAAAGAGAAGGATGCTCTACGGAATGGATTTCGGATGGAAACTCATTTCTAGAGGGAAGTTCGCAATCGAAACCCTGCCACATATCACCAGTTCGTAAATCTTATTCAGGTTGAAATTCTTACGGAAGATACCTTAGAAAATAAGAAGAAAATGGAACAAGGACAAACGAAGAAGCTAAAGGAAAAATGAGAAGGAGAAAGCCCCGATGCATGGTAAGAGGCCACTGTCAGCCCCTTAAAGGTTGAGATGTGCAATGGCATGGGCATGCCTTGTACTCATGTCAGGATTTTGCGAATAGGTGTGTTGATGGTGCACACTTCAGATTTCAGAGCAAAGAAAATGTGGGTTTCAATTTGTGGGCGTGATACTTCAATTTGGATGGTGTCAAAGTGTTGCGTATTAGCAAGACATGGATGGATCCAGCTTGCTGTTAGTGTGCTTTAGTCCACAAATTCGGGTGTCCAAATCAAGTACATGTTTAACACATGTGTTGGGCAGTTTTCGTGGTCCATAAAAATGGAAAGTTGCTGGGAAAGGTTGTGGGAAGCAGTTTCTGGCAGTTCTAATTCTACTGGGTTGGTTTATCCCTTTGGGAGTTAAGAGTGTTAACTGCACACAAATTTTGGCTTATATATTTTGAAGGTTGGGCTAATGAGACACAAAGTGTGTTGTGTTCCTTCAGTATTCCTTCGTGTTCTTGTATTATTTTGGAGTAATAAACAAGTTGGATTTACCCGTAAACTGTATTCCTTTACATTGCTGCCTTTATCTTTCTTTGTGTGCATTGTGTAAATTCGTGGCCTGACTGAGTGGAACTTTAGTGCCATCATAGGCGAAAATTTGGCCAAGTATTTTACCAAGAATTCATCCCTATGATAATTGGTATCAGAGCTCCCAGGTTGCAGTTACTGGGTTTCGTTTGCGAGCATAGCTGCAAGTCAGAATCTTAATGATCGGGTTGTTATGTTGGAGGATTTTGTTGGTGCTCCTATGATCGAGTGTAGTCAGTTGGCTGCACAAATTCATGCACATAATGATGTGCACACAAAATTGAGGGCTCAGTTCGAAGAGTTTGTTATCAGGGTAGACAAAAGGTAATCTTCGTTCATGAAAGATCTGTTGGATCTTGCTGATAACACAAAGGCTCGGTTTGATGCCCTTGAGAGTGAAATTTCCTTGTTGAAATTGGCCCTAAACAGTACTACTATGAAGGATGTAGTGGGTGCTTCAAAAATTCGTGTCCCTGAACCAAAGCAGATCAATGGTGCTCGTAATACCAAAGAGTTAGAGAACTTCCTGTGGGATATGGAATAGTACTTCAAAGCTTATCGTATTCCAGATGATGAACGGGTAAATATCACTTCAATGTATCTCTCGGGTGATGCAAAGTTGTGGTGGTGAACTCGGGTGAAGGATGATGAGCTACAGGCTGTTTATCGATTGTTACTTGGAAAATGTTGCAGAAGGAATTAAAGGATCAGTTCTTGCTTTGCAATACGGCTTGGGTTGCAAGGGAATATCTCAAAAAGTTAAGGTAGTCGGGTAATGTTCGGGAATACATGAAGGAATTCAGGAGTCTCATGCTGGATATCCAGAATATGTCCGAGGAGGATAAGATTTTCAACTTTATGTCGGGATCACGAAGTTAGGCACAGGGAAAATTGAGGAAGCAAAGAATGAAGGACCTTCCTTTGGCAATGGCTGTAGTAGATTGTCTTGTTGACTACAAGATGGGCATTAACTTTTTTGTTCAGAAGAAAAACAATAAGAAGAAGGTTGGCATATCGAAAGATTGGAAGAAATGGGATAAGAAGAGAAAAATTGAGGGCCCTAAATCGAAAGATGGTGATCAGTCCCAACTCAAGTCAAAGAGATTCAGTGAATGCTTCATTTACAACGGTCCCCATCGTGCAAAGGACTGTCCAAAGAGAGAAAAAATTGAATGCCTTAAGGTTGGAAGGCAGTGATGATAACTCGAAGGATGCCTCATCTAGAGTTAATCTGTTACAACTCGTGAATGCCATCACTACACTGTAGCGTGGCTTGATGTATGTTCGTNGAAGGATGCCTCATCTAGAGTTAATCTGTTACAACTCGTGAATGTCATCACTACACTGTAGGGTGGCTTGATGTATGTTCGTGTTACTGTTGATGGTAAGGAAGTGTTGGCAATGATGGACACCGGTGCTACCAACAAATTTGTAAGTTCAAGGATAGTGGAAAAGTTGGGTTTAAGCATGACTCAGGTAACTACGAAAATTAAGGCTGTGAATTCTGTAGCAGTAGCACAGCTTGGGAAGGAATCTGCTGAAATTACCCTTCGTGTGGGCGAATGGGAGGGAAAGTGCAATCTGATAACTATTCCCTTGGGTAATTTTGATTTGATCCTTGGTAATCTGACTGTCCCAGTTTTATTTCAGAGAAAGCATGATGGTTCTATGAGGATGTGTGTGGATT